AACAAAAATACTACCATTTACTAGAATAATATTTGCATAAAAGAAAACTAATAAACAAATTGAAAGATGAAAATAAAAATGAAAATACAATAAAGTTGTAAAATTACCAATATTTTTATTTTCATCTTTTAATTTGTTTATTAGCTATCTTTTATGCAAATAGTATTTTTTTAGATAAAATGAGTGAAGAGATTAATTGTCAGTTAATATTTTCACTCATTTTATCTAAAAAAAGGAATACAATATTAATAAAAAGTTTACAAAGTTTTATTTTGTTAAACTTAAAATTTTAGTAAAGAATTTTAATTGTGTTACACCCCCTATCGCCCGCAAATGATTTCAGATTAAGGAAAATAGGTACCAAAAGTGCGCCCCAAAATAGACTGCCAGCGCCCCATTTCTTTCAACGAAATTTTGCAGACAAATAAAAAATGTGTAAACTTAAATGGCTGCAAAAGATAGTCAATAAATCAACTTATAAACTACGTAAATCAAAAGACACATATTAATAAAGTAAAATCATTCTAGTTTTTAAAAAATATCTATGTTAATATGAAATTCTAAAAAATAAGGCAACAAAACACTGTACAACCTACCTCTCCAAATGCGAACTTCAAAAAGCGTGGCACAGAGTTTTAGCACATTTATCAGTTCCGTAAAACGTCGATATCGGCGTACCTAGTATATATATATATATATATATATATATATATATATATATATATATATATATATATATATATATATATATATATATATATATATATATATATATATATATATATATATATATATGTATATATATATATATATGTATATGTATATATATATATATATATATATATATATATATATACATATACATATATATATATATACATATATATATATATATATATATATATATATATATATATATATATATATATATATATATATATATATATATATATATATATATATATATATATATATATATGTATATATATGTATATATATATATATATATATATATATATATACATATATATATATGTATATATGTATATATATATATATATATGTATATATATATATATATATATATATATATATATATATATATATATATATATATATGTATATATATATATATATATGTATATATATATATATATATATATATATATATATATATATATATATATATATATATATATATATATATATATGTATATATATATATATATATATATATATATACATATATATATATATATATATATATATATATATATATATATATATATATATATATATATATATATATATATATATATATATATATGTGTGTGTGTGTGTGTATATACATACATATAAAAACACACACACGCTTGTGAATATATATTTATTTTAGATTGTTTAAACATAAATAAAAACTCACAAACATTTGGTTTTATTTTCTCAAGAATCTTCTATAGTATTTGAGTACATCATCTTCTAGTATCGTGTTAAAGTACAGCTTTCTGAATGTCTATTTTAGTATTATAAATGTTATTAAAATAAACTGAAAAAGGCAATCAGTTAGCGATTAATTCTTTATAACAAGCTGACAAACATAAACTGACGAATAATTTCATTTAGAGCATTCTTTTAACTAGAATTTTGTAAATTTTTTAGTTAACTCTTAAGTTCCGTGATATGTTTTGGGTTAACCAAGATGGCTACCGTTTTAAAAACTGGCTTCAAAAAAGTCACGTGACACCGTCTCCTGTTTATAAAACCTCCTTGATTTTACTATAAAAAAACCATAATAAAGTCAGTCTACGCCGTAAAATCAGATTATTTGTGGTTTAGCTACAAACCGATCTGCAATGAACGATCTCTTATTTTATTCCGGTTTATGTTTCGTTTTAAGTAATCGCTTTTAAAGCTGATTTTTCACAGCAAATAAAAATAAACTTAATAATTTATACTAACTTTACTTTAAAAATATGTTGGAATATTTTATTCGACTATTCATGTATCATGTTTAAAAAGTTAATACTGACATTAGACAAATTATTTAGCAAAATATTTGTAACCCATATTCCAAAAGTTCATGAAAAGTTAAGTAGAAATACTTTTGAGTATTCTGCAGTTTCATACTGATAACATACTAATCTTAGGATTGTATTTAATCTTAATTTGATGAAGTTAACAGTAAATATCTACCTTATGTAATATATACTAGATAAATATCTAGATTCTGTAATATATACTAGATAAATATTTACATTCTGTAACATATGCTAGATAAATATTCACATTCTGTAATATATACTAGAGCATTATCAAATTATAAGAAACTTTTTCATATGGAAAAGCTTCTTATAGTTTGATAATGCTCATTAGAAAAATCTTAACTAAAAGCATCTTCAGTTTTTATATTTATCAAAATTTTTCTTTGCAAGGTTCCTAGAGACTTTTTTGTATTGAAGTCTTATTATTGTTATTATTGTATTGAAGCTAACTTCATCTTTTAAGAATTGCATGTAACTCTTCTATCGCTACTCTCGAGTCCTTTATAAAAGGGTGGAGGATGTTTATTAATTTTTTTGTCACTGGTATATACAAAAACTTTCAATGTAAACAGGCTTTAAAAATCGCCGACCTAATAAATCTTGATTTGTCGAAAATGAGCTTTTGGTTTAATATTCACAGAAGTATAAAACCTATATATCATAATATTAAAATCTAATAAAATTATGATATAACGGCTGTTAGAAAAAGTGCATTTGATCGCAAGCTATGCTATGAGTTAAATATATAGTTTTATGCGTGTTTTGTAAAAAATATTAGTTTGGATTAATAAAATAAAATTTCTTATAAAAAATATTCATATCATAACATAATAAAATTTCCACCCACCCTTTTATGTACACTCCATCGCACCGTTTACTATATCTGAACTAAAAATCCCAGTCCTCCTTTTATTCCCCCAAGCCCCCACCCCTTGTATTAGGCATTCGAGAGTACTTGATTGTTTCACACGTACAGACAAATAAACAAATTTAAACACACTAGAATGTTTAATGCTTTGATACAAAATATATATATATATATATTTATTTATATATATCATATATATATACATATATATATATGATATATATATCATATATATGTATATATATATATATGATATATATATCATATATATGTATATATATATATATATATGATATATATGATATATATATATATATATGTGTATATATATATATATATATATATATATATATGTGTATATATATATATATATATATATATATATATATATATATATATATATATATATATATATATATATATATATATATATATATATATTTGTGTTTGGAGCAAGTAAAATTGGTGCGCCCTCTCTACTTTTAAAGTTAATTGATAAAAGTGCAAATTAACAATTGTGTTTTAATGACAAAGTTTATAAACAATATGGAATAGAAACAAAGTTGCACATCTTTCTAACTTATGCCATCCAATTTAAGTAGTTACATAAACTGGATGGGGGTTACTGACAGATTTTCTGAAGGTAATAAAAAAAGTAAAAAAATTCCCAAGCATTCTGTATGCTTGGAGCATTTGCTCCTAATACTACAACGTAGTTACGCTACGGATATACATACATACCGGCATTTTCTGACCACTTTAGATCTTTATTCAAGGCTAATTTTTTTTTTTTAATTTAAACTTTTTTGTCAAAGTTGCTGATTTCTGTGACGTTAAGGAGTGTCTAGTATAAACCCATTTTGCTGAATTTAGCTTAGACTACATATATTTTGTATTTAAAATCAGATGTTTTTTTTTAGATTTATTACAGCGTATTTTGCATCTCAATAACTTATATCTCAATAAATTTGCAATAATGATGCATTTTATTGCTATATTGAGAACTCTTTTAATGAATCATATTTTATGTTCAATAAAAATGCCTATGATTTTCTCTGATAAGTTAAAAACTTGGTTCTTTGGTTGTTACTTTAATTACAAATTTGTTCTAGAGAGCGGTTAGCTTTGTTATCGATTTTCTCTAGCCTGCCCCGCACCTTAAAAAGTATTAGGAAAGAGGGTGCTTTTTTAAAAATGAGATATTTTATATGACTTTTATGATCAAAGTATATGTACTGCAACACCATATGCAATAACAAGTAAAAACTTTTATATTATTAAGGTATAATGCCGAGGTTGAGTAAAAGCACTCACTCATTGACGTCTTGTATTATTCAAGTGGGACTTACTTACATCGTTATTTTTGCATCCATTTCGTTTCCGAAATGGTGAACAATCAGAGCCTTTTTATGTACACCACTTTCTTACAAAAATATAAGTAAAAAAAGTAGATAATTTAAATAGAACTTTTAAAAAAATATTATTCTTAGGATGGGGAGGGGGGGAGGGGAGGGCTTTTTTGGGGGGAAAAGGACCGTGCACTAACACTTCCCCTCCTCATAGGCGCATCTACAATCAATGTATACTTGCTATATTTTATCTTCCCTAAAATTTTGATAAACATTAGTTAAACGGTTTAAAATTTACTAATGTTTTTATAAATCCAAGATGGCGGTCACTGCCATCTTGGATTTAACCCAGTTCCGGTCATGCTATACTTTGCTACCATATCTTTAAATGATAGGCATAATTTACTGAGTTTTTGGTAAAAATTTCATGATTTCATCCCTTTGTGCACAATTCTGGTCAATTTTAATGCTAATCTGTTCCACTAATACGCAGGTTTTAAGTTAAATATTTTACGTTGTAGCTTATAAGGGTTATTTTGCTTTGTTAAGACATAGTTACGCTGTGATGCAGAAATAATTAACTATTCATTTATGTAAATAAATTTAATATCTTAAAAAAATTTAAAGTACGGGTGATTTTTTAATTTATTTATTATTATTATTTTTTAAAAAGTATTAATGTATTTTATAAATGTTAATGAAATTTATTTTCAATTAAAGTTTTTAATAAATCTAAAAAAATAAATCTAAAAATCTAAAAAAAAAAACGACGAATGCAAAATTACAACTTAATTGAACAATAACGTTCTGCGCAACGTTTCCATTTTGTGTAGCATCTATATTTTCCTTTAACATTGTCAGTGTTTCTTTGATAGCATTCATCAAACGAAGGGTTGCACTAAAGAATCAACATTTTATAAACTTATTTAATTTTTTCTTTTTTAAAAAATATTTTAAATATAAGAAAAACCAAAAAATGAATCCATTTTAAATACCTTGTTTGCTTTTTTACAAGCCGTTAATATACATTGCTTAAGTTCTTTTTCGCATTCGATTTTTCGAAGTATTTTTTTTGAATGATGTTGACACCATGAAAATGATTTGTAGCACTATACGACAAATACAAATTATTTATAAAAATTGTAATCAACATGCATATATTAGGATAAAGAAAAAATAAATAAATTTTTACAGATTCTTATATGATGTTAAGTGATCGTTTGCAAATTATGTCGCGCTTTAGGGGATTTTTTTTTAGTGTCATTTTGTGACACTATGTGACAAAGGTAATAGGTAGTTAAAATTTTGTGACGTCATGCTAATTTAATCTTGTTTTATAAAATTTTAGAGTTCTAAAAGTATTGCTAGCTAAATTTTAGAAATGTACTATCAGTGAAGTGGGTATTGTGGTATAACCTCCTCCGGCTAATTATCACATAGAGGACCAGATACCTGGGCCTGCAAAGACAACTTCAGCTCCATAAGGAGCATCATAACCCGCTTCGCAGACCAAGAGTAAGTGATTTTAAAAAGTACGAAGGATATTAGGGTGAAAGTCAGAAAAATTCAAGTTAGAAAGATAGCATAGAGGAAGCGGACAGATAATGCACTGATGTAAGAATGTGCAATTAGTACTATTAATTAGATTACCTAGTTAATGTACTACTCTGGAAGCAACTTACGAGTGAATTAACACCGTGCCAGAGGTATCATCAATGCAGTGGCATTGACTTCTTTAACATTTGGAATTATTAATCAGACAAAATATATAAATGAATAAAAATATAAATATAAAAAAACGCATATTTATTGTTCAGGAAACAAAGAAATATAAACATGTCGATTGAATTAATGGAATACAAAAATTCTATATGACCAAAATTCTTCATCATTGCCATGGAAACTTTATGCACTATAATGATCATTATATGGAATAGCTTTAATAAAAAAAATCACTTTCCACTGTAATAAAAGTAGTATAAGCTATTACAAAGGAAACTTTAAAGAAAACTAGACAATAAGGTCATAAGGTAATAAAGAAAAGAGAGAAAGGATCATTAAGTCATCATCAATAAAGAAATACAAATGTGGTTGTTGCAGTTTTATTATTTCTTATTTAATCATATTGTTAAAGTAAAAAATGGAAACCTTATTATTAACCCTATAAATTATTTTTTTCCTAAAAAACAAAATGGAGACCATATGAAATGATCATACGATGGTAATAAACTATGGAAAACAATATGGTATGGCCACATGTGTTCATTAAAATATAGCCATACTCAATTTATGGGATGTCTTAAATGTGTGGCCATGTGTGGCTATGGTTTTTATACCACTAAAGTGGTAGTCACATATAGCTCACATGTGGCAGTAATACATGTGTCAGTCACATGTGGCGAAAATCAAACATTTTTATCAATTATTTTTTTTATTATAAAGCAGTTGGTTTCATTGACTAAGCTTTACCATGTCTTTAAATTTACTTTTTCCCACTGCTTAAAAATTATTAACAACTTTAACTGATATATTTTGTTTTAAACAATGAAAAAGGAACTCATTCCAATTTTTGTTTGTTGTTTTAAAGGACAAATAGATAAAACCTATTGTCACCGTGATCTTATCTTAATTTTTAATTTTTGTTTTAAAGGACAAACAGATAAAACTTATTGTCACCGTGAGTTTATCTTTGAGTTTATTTTTGAATGTATGTTTATTAAGCAATCATGAGTTATGATTCTAACCAAATTTGACTCAGACAAAAGGATAAGCTGTATATGAAATGGGCATCTTTAATCAAGAAATGAGCTAATGTTGTGTGGGAGTTTAAAGAATACTGTTATCAAAATAAAATTTTTACATAGGGCAAAGTAGGATAACCGCCAAGCAACTAACTTACGCCAAGCAAAGTCAGATAATCCTGCTATTACAAAATCTAGTACACCGGGCAAAGTTATTATTCCATATAGAACTATAGATTAGTATTTTTAGGCTTTTATACAAAAAGTGATAAAATTTCGTGTGCTAATATCCATTAATAGTGGACGCTAGTTTGTATAGTTTTTGTTTTGTTTGCAATATTACTATTTAAAAACATTGTTACAAATTGTGGATTTTATACCAAAATAGTTGAAAAAACTTTGATGATAATAAATTTAATTGTATTTAGTTATCCGTAGTTCATTTATAAATGCTACATATATATAACGAAAATCTAGTTTTTAGTAAGTTATGATATTGTTGAGATGGTTAGAAAATTGATTTTAAAATCAAAAAAAAAAAAATATATATATATATATATATATATACATATATATATATATATATATATATATATATATATATATATACATATATATATATATATATATATACATATATATATATATATATATATATATATATATATATATATATATATATATATATATATATATATATATATATATATATATATATATATATATATATATATATATATATATATATATATATATTAAACGATATTGCAAGTCTACCATGGTTACTTAAAAATATTTGTTTTCCTCCAATTTCCTTAATTTAAGATTTAGTATCAAATAAATCATTCTTTTTTTTTTTAAGTTGATGCAAATTATCATAAGAATTTTAATTTTAATTAAAATCGGTTGCTTAGAAGATCAAACCAAATTATTTGCTTAGAAGATCAAACCAAATCATTTGGCATTTTATTCTTATACTAAAAAATGTTCTTATTATTTTACTGAAATTTGGCTGCGCAATGCATTATTTTTTTATACCGTACAAATAATAGTTAAACTTATATTTATATATCAATCGTTTTAATATAAACCTTTAATTACATTAAATAGTCATTAGTAACTCTTGACGACAACAAGTAATAACCAAAGTATAAATAAACAACTTTAACATTTCAACTTTTATTAATATGACCAACATTAATAAGCTTTGATTTAATTATTTTTAAATATAATAATTATAATTATAATTGTTAAATAATTATAACTGCTTTAACATTTTTACTTTTTTTAATAACTATTTTAAGAGGTAGAAGAAAATAAATAATAAACAATTATCTTAATTATAAATGATTCGCTGATCTAATGAAGGCTAAATAAATATTTAAAAACAAAAAAATAAAAAAATTTAAAATAAACTTACTTGAGTTTGTTTTTTAGCTCGATCCACTGATTCAACTTTTTCGTATTTTGCCTTTTTTTTCTTTTTTAAACGAAGCTTACCAGTGTCAACTAACAGTCCTTGGTTCCTTTGTGCAAGTTTTGTTGTTTTCACAAGTTCATGCTGTTTTTTATTATTTGTTTTCTTATTGAAAAATGTATAGTCTGGCGACGAAACATTGTCTATAGACTTCAAACTTTGACCTATATTTACATTTAGTAACTGTTGAGCTCTTGTATTTACTTTTCCACCATATTTATAAATGCTTTGCTGATGCCAAGTTGACACACCATCATTGGCTAATTTATAAAACCAAAAAGTTAGTTACTTAACTTTTCATTAGTTAATCAAATAAAAGAAAATTAATTGCATAAGTATAGTATAAATCAATCTTATAAATGTAACGAATGGTACAAGAAGGAAGCAAGTAAGGTGCAAGTTGCAGTAAGAAAATTTTCTTTGTTGGGCTAGGCTTAGGGTTTAGGTTTGATTAAATTATTTTTCTTATTTTAGATTTTAGAGTAAAATTAAAAAAGAAAACATTTTGAAAACAATTGAAAGATAGCTAGACTTTTATATACTAATTAATCCACTAAAACCTGAAAATCAATAAAAAGTGGAGTTACACTGTTTTTTGCCTCCCCATTTCATCATTCCATGTCTTCAACTGCTATAAACATAGCCTTTATTTATAGCAATTGAAGACACAAAAATTTATCGTATTTGAAGTTTTAAACAAATGACGTTTTTTAGTTTAATTTCCAATGAATGAAATATATTATGTAAAAAATCCTGATGTTAACTTAAGCTCTCTAAAATTAAAAAAAAATGTTCTTAATTTAGAATTAAGAACATTTTTTTTATTCTAAGCTCTCTAGAATTTAAAAAATGTTCGCATCGCCACAAATCTGATATTTTTTTTCTACCGTTGCAATGACTTGGTAATATCGTCTACCATATTCTTCGCTGACATCACCTAAAATTAATCTAAAAAAATTCAAGTGGTTGCTCAAGTAGCATGCAAGTAGTAGTGTGTAGTGCAAATAGTATTTATAGACATGCAACATGTGACGTGCATAATGCAACATCCAGCAGCCCAACCTTTTGTAACTGCAGATAAGCTAGCTGACAAACTCTTTGTAAGTACTGGTTTTATGATTGCCTTAAATCTTTTTACAACAGCACAAAAGACACACGAGGTCTCATCAAACTTTTAGGCTTTTCCAACTTTAGATAATTATTACGGAACTTTTTTTGCTTTGAGCAGGTTTAGAAACATAGGTGGTATTTTTTGATAGTTTTTACAAGCATTTACAAACTGTTTTGCCAATCTCAGCTTAATGTGATGCGACGGAGGGAAAACTTTGTTGAAATGAACCTTTAATTTAGTAAAATTTCGATAAATAAATAAAAAAAAAAAGAAAAAATTATGAAATGCAATGCAGTGCAAGGAAAAAAAAAAAAAAAAAAAACAAGTTTGAAGTTGAACTGAGCATGATATTGAAATATTTATCGTTTATAAAAACATTTTTTTTTTTTCTCTTTGATTCATAAATTAACGTTTATTTTAAAGAAGTTTCATATTATTATTACTTCAAAAGTGAATAACTTATTTATAACCTTAAAAAAAATTTTACTTAAAATTTATTGTTAGAAATTATTTGAGCCGTCGTGACACAGCAACCTTGCAGCAATCAGCTTGCTTTAGAATGAAGTAGAAGTTGGTGTTTATAATGGTACAATTTTTTTTTTTTCGTGAAGACATTAGATATTTGTAATTTTGGAAAATAATATTTTAAAAATTTTATACTAAGCTGTAATGTAACTAAATTCTAGTATACTAAAGTCGTGTTCCAGACTCTAGAAGACGTTTTATAGATATCTTGTTTACAGGATCAGCGCAAAAAATAAAAACACCATATTTTCACATTTAAAGGACGTCTATGTAAATTGTCGTTCTTTAAAATTTTTTAAATATAATATCAATTAAATACCTTTTACTGGATTTGAATAAAGAGTTATTGCCAAAATCAAACAACACGCTAAACTCATGCTCATTAGACTCCTATTGTTAAACCTGTTAAATTTAGTTATTTTTTTCACCAATCATGTCGAACTGTTTTATTTCTCCAATCACAAATAACTATTTTTGTTAACATTTTTCAAACTTTTAAATTTTTGGAATTTTTTAAACAATCCTATAAGCTGAGATAATACTAAATGAATATTTTTTAATTTTTTTTTTGTTTCTAATCTTGTGAGATATATTCGGCACTAGCGCAGTTTCTAAGCTGCAGGGTTAAACGAAACGTAGATTTGGTAATTTGTTTGGCTGCATATTTTTACATATTCTCTTTCTCAATTTTCACAATAATTTTATAACTAACATTAAAGTTTAAATAACAGCAATGACAACAAAGACTATATATATATATATATATATATATATATATATATATATATATATATACATATATATATATATATATATATATATATATATATATATATATATATATATATATATATATATATATATATATATATATATATATATATATATATATATACATATATATATATATATATATATATATATATATATATATATATATATATATATATATATATATATATATATATATATATATATATATTTATATATATATATATATAACACAGTATAAAATATTTTTTTTAATTTTCTATCTTGCCTTAAATTGTAGTATTGTAATGACGCTCAAAAAGAGGTCCGGTAGACATATTTTGAAACCTTGGTTACACCCTTGGATACAGGCTCAGAATAGATCTATTGCTAATTTAAAGAAATGAAAAAAACAAGTTAAAGTAACTTTAAAAAGATTTATGTTTCTTGTAAAATACAACATGCTTGGTCTTGAAATATACTCAATGCAAAGTTTATATCCAGTTTTACCAGATTACTGGTGAAGAACATTGAGGAGATTTTGTTTTCATATTTTGTTTCAACTATAAATTTGAGAAGGCTGATATTTTTTTTGCATAACTCTAATAAAACATCCTTAAACCTTGAATCCTTTTAAAGATTTAGAAAAAATTTGGCAAGCCACATTAACTTAAATAAAAAAGACGACATTTGGATAATAATACTCTATTTTAAATTTTTTTTTTTCTTTTTATTTGCATTCACTCCCAACAAGGCTGCAAGCAACCACTATTAAGTTGGGAGTTACTAGGAAAAAAAAAAGAACAGAGTTATAGAGCAAGGAAACGGTTGACAGAAGACTTGAAAAGTTGAAGGTTGTATGAGTCAGGAAAACATGAAGATGGGAGAGAGTTTCAAAGGATTGAAGTGCGGGGAAAAAAACTAGATGAATAAAAGTTTTTAAAGTATGCAGGGACAGATACAGTAAACGAATGAGACTTAGCTGAATGACGAGTAAAACGATAATGAATTTCAGTTGATGGAACTAGAGATGATAACTCCTTTGAGCAGTGACCATGATAGTACTTGTAGAAAAGAGAAAGAGATGCAACTTTACGACGATGGGAAAGAGGTTCAAGCTTAGCAGATAGTCCAGGTCCAACAACATTTACAATGCGTTTTTGGACCTTGTCAAGAAGAGAAAGTGAATCGTTAGAAGAACCAGCCCAAATATGACAACAGTATTCCATACAGGGACGAATAAGAGATTTGTAGAGGTAGAGAATGGAATCAGAAGTAAGGAAATGGCGAGCACGATAAAGAGAAGCAACCTTAGCAGAAGCTAATTTAGCAATCGATTGTGTATATGGTTTCCATGAAAGGTCAGTAAGCGATAATCCAAGAAGACGTAAAGAGGAGGATTCAGTAAGAGGATTGCCATTCATTAATGTATGAATGTTGACCATATTACGGTAGTTGTTTGCAGTAAGCAACTGGATTTTTTTAGAGTTGAAATTCACAAGCCACTGTGAACCCCAATCTATTACTGAAGTGAGATCGGATTCAAGATCAGCTGCTTGTTCTAGGCGATCGAAAAGAGAAGACTTTTTGTCAAGACAGGAGTATAAAGTTGAATCGTCAGCAAAAAGAGCTACTTTAGCTGAAAGGTTGTCAGGAAAATCGTTTATGTAGATAAGAAAAAAAATAGGGCCCAAGATGGAACCTTGGGGAACCCCAGAAGTTACTGGAAATAAAGAAGAGTGTTGGCCTTCAAGGATGACTTTAATAAACCGGTTAGAAAGAAATGATTTGATAATCTCAAAAACTTTCCCAGAAACACCATATGAAGCAAGCTTATGGAGAAGACCAGCATGCCAAACTTTGTCGAAAGCTTTACATATGTCGAGAGCAATAGCCCTAGCCTCACCGCCTCCATCTAATGCACGATAAAATCTTTCAGTTACAGCAGTTAGCAAGTCGGCCGTAGAGCGAGAGGATCGAAAACCGTATTGATTGTCTGACAGTAGTTTATTTGACTCAAGATGAGATGTGAGGAATTTGTTGATCAAAGACTCAAAGACCTTGCTAATTACAGAAAGAAGACTGATCGGACGATAATTGGAGGGGTCAGAATTTTCTCCAGAGTTTTTGAATATGGGAACCACAAATGCCATTTTCCAACAAGCAGGAAAACAAGACTAAGTCAAACACTTGTTAAATAGTTTAGAGAGAATTAAAGAAAGTTCTGGAGAACAATTCTGCAAGACTGTGACAGGAATGTTGTCTGGACCACAAGCTGTAGACAAGTTTAATTGAGATATGACTTTAGCAACAGAAGCCGGAGTGATTTGAATGTCTAACAATGGGTCAACCTGTTTGACTGGAATGGAAGGAAGAGAATGTCCATAAGATTCAAGAGTGGAATTAGAAGAAAAGTTCTTTGCAAATAGTTCTGCCTTATCCTTGGGAAAGGTAATAAGATCAGTCCCATGAATGAGAGATGGAATGTTGGATCTACCCTTGTTAATAATGCTGTTGAAGATTTTCCAAAAGTCTTTAGAGCCTAACTTCCGTGATAAGATGCGAGATTAAGTGAACTGAGAATAATGGAGTTTAGCATCAGCTGAGAGAGAAAAAACATCAGCCCAAGGACCATCACGAAGAAAATCACGAAAGGAATCCCAGTCAGCTTTAGGGTAGTAGTAGGTAGTGCGATGATAGGGTGAGCCCAAAAAAGAAGTACGAGAAGAAAGATTTATAGAGATCATTGCATGGTCAGAACCACCTAAGGGAGAAAAGGGAGAAACTGAACATAAGCTAGGGTCAGAGACAAGACATAAGTCAAGGAGTGAAGGTAAATGATTAGGGTTGTCAGGAAAACGAGTCACAAAGTTAACTATCTGAGTAAGAGATTGAGAAACGCAGAAGTTAAAGGCTTTAGTGCCAGCAGGATCAGTGGTGTTAGAGCCAAGCCATTCAGTGTGATGGGCATTAAAATCATCAACAGCAACAATATTGGCAGAGGCGTAAAGAGAGAGGGCATGGTCAATTTGATCAGATATAACATCTAAGAGAGTGCAATCATGGGAAGAAGGAGAACGATAAAGAACAAAGAGAAAGGTGATAGAGTGAAGAGGTGCTAGGCGAAAGCACATAAAAGAATGGTCAAAGGATTCGAACCTGATTTCACGACAAATAGGGGAATTAATGCGTATGTATACCCCTAAACCTAGCATGTGACTATTGGAGTCTTTACGAATCAAAGGATAGTACCCATCAACACTGACATCTGAAGAAGGAATTGCAGAATTTAAATTTGTTTCACTGAGTGCAAGCAAGTCTGGTGAATTTTGCAGGAGGTAAGACTCAACTGATGGAAAGTTGCTTCGTGGACCGCGAATATTTGTAAAAGATATATTAAAATATTTAGGTGGTGGGGATGGTTTTTTAGGTTTTAAATTTTTGGTTACTTTGGTCATGATTTGGGTTTAATGAGAACTTGACTCATTCATAGATAGAGCACAGCCTCCTAATCAATGAGCTATGCAGTTGTCTCAGTCCTGTTAATTAACCCTAAGCCGTGACATAGGGCTCCTTATGTGGCCTTGACAATGCACACCAAAAGCATTAACAGGGACACCATCCATGCGCAACATGGCACTGTTAATACTCTGATATTTTGCAGCTGTTGATGGAATCAGCCTCTCTGAGAGCTACCACAGAGTTCGGGAAACCTTACTACCATCCGGCCTCAGAACCATTAAACTGAGTTTTAGAGCTGTACCCTCATATGGAGATAACAGGAAGAGTTGCATAGCCATTATCAAGGAGGAATAAGCAAAATTCTATGAGTAGAGTCAAGGAGATCCAGCATTCATCATCCTAGGCAGGAAACAATGTAACACAGGTTACATCTACGCCAGCCTAATAGATGAAGAAGGGGTTCGAGGCTGGTTAGCAGAATTTTTCTGCTTACCCCTAAAGTCTTTGCCTAGGAGGCCTTCTACAAGACAGTAGCTGGATGCAGTTAACATCTGCCCAATATGAGTATTTTTATCGAGACACCATCTCTAGCCTTTACTCAACCCAGAGCCCCAAGGCAGGGGATGTTTAGCTGGATGCAGTTAACATCTGCCCAAGATGAGTGTAGGTTTTGTAGTTAGAGTAAGTAGTTAGTTACTGAGCTCACGCTGCATTAGAGTATAAACAGAACACAAACAAACATAAATCAACTTACGGGTGAGTCAACACCGCGCCAGAGGTTCAGACAGAACACAAACATACATAAAAAACATAAAGTAACTTACGGGTGAGCGAACACCGCGCCAGAGGTTATTGAATTAATATTGAATTAATATGTAGAGAAATTTATGTTTTATTTTATTTTTAATAAAGTTAATAACGATGCCTAGGTTAAATAAAATTATTATTAGCCATACATATGTTACATTTGTTTTTATAAAAATATTTTTGAAACATGTTTATTCAAAATGTTAAATAAGTAGATTCAAAAATGCTGAAAAACCAGATTCAAAAATGCTGAATAAACAGATTCAAAAATGCTGAATAAGCAGATTCAAAAATGCTGAATAAGCAGAAAAATATACTTAAGCTTAAGAAAACGTTTTTTTGTAAGAAAGTCAAAAGATACTTTTAAGAATTCTTACACGCCACATTTTATTTATAAAAATCCTCAAATACCAACAAAGGAAAAAACAACCAATGTATGATAGTCTTGTAGATGGTTAAAAAACAATAATACAAAACCAAATAATTAAGTTTATCTTTTTAATTGACCATCGGCTACTTGGTATGTTACGTTTTTACTATTGTTCAACCTTACTCTAAATGTGCATGTTTTTGATATTTTTATATTATCTTTTCAATTTTTTTGAGCACATTTCCATTAGTATGGAATTGTGGATTATAAATACAGGTGAATTATAAATACAGGATAACAATTAGTACATGTACTAATTGAATTGTGCTCAAAAAAATTGAAAAGATAAATTTATTTATTCGGTTTTGGTTACAATTTTTTTAGATTTACTCATGTATATTATTTAATTTAAGATATCATAGTATTTTGTAATATGAGCCGTTCTTGCACAAAATATACAAATAAACGAGAAAAGAAAAAGATACAGACCAATCGTAGAAGACTACTATTTCTTCTTAAGTATCCTATCAACCAATTACCTATAGACCAGCTTCCCAGCATTGGAATTGTTCTTAGATACATACAGTTTATCAAATCTCCAAGGTCTTTGAAATTTAAATCTCATAAGCTAATTGAGGCTTGCTCTCAAACGTTTCCAGGAAAAGATCTTATCTGCAAGGGTGGATTATGTAAAAATCCCAACAACAGATGTGTTACTTCTCTTGTAATGGATGTGTGGAACAAAGCTGGTTTCGGAGAGTTTATCCTTTCTGGAGCTGCTGTCAGGTAAGAAATAATGCAATTTTTAATATAATTAAAATATAAGTAAACCAACAAACATTAATATTAATAATATGATTTATAAAAATTTACCATACCTTGGTAATTATGAAACTTTATATAATAATTTTTTATATCATTAAGGGATAAGATTTTGAAATTCCATACTAAGTATTGCAAAGCTGATCCATTTGAGAAAACTAAACTGGGATTCCAGAATTAATAGATTTACTAAGATCCAGAGTGAGTTCATTCAGAGAGCACCAAACTCTTCGACATATCTGTAGTGAGGTTTGAGGAAAAAATCCAATCAGATCGCCTTCGTACCCAGGATGCCAAGGCGGAAGACATTTAGTTTTTTTTTGACCAGAATAAGAATCGAAAAATGTATGTAATTACAGAAATAGACAAAGAATTTGAAGCATTTATTAAAAATAGACAAAATTGTTGGCAGAGAATGAAGAATATGAAGATTACAACAGCGGAAAAAGGTAAAAAGAAAATAGTTTTTAATGAGGTTTCAATTGGTAATAAAGCTATTTTGAAAATTAGGAGATCAGATATTGCAAGACATAATGGAAACATTGAAGGAAAAAAGACTTGTCCTGCACTTCGACAGCAAAAAAATAAAAGAGATGGAGGATAATCTAAATATTATTGTTACTGTTGAAAGAGTTTCTGTTAGTGTTACATCACCAGATATTGACGACACAAATAACATTCTCTTAGAAGTAGTTCAAACTCAAAGTTCCAACGGAGTTGATTAGGCAGATTTAATCTTAAATCTCCTAGAGTATTACAATATTGTTGATCAGATCTTCGCCATATGCTGTGACACTACTGCTTCCAACACTGGAGTATTTGCTGGAGCCATTACCATCCTCACAAACATCCTCAGCATTCCGTTTCTCTTGTTTCTCTGCAGACGTAAGATGTTTGAGATAAACATCTCACATTTCATGGAGGCTCTTAATAGTAAAAAAACAAAGGGGCCCAGGAGAGCACTATATTTAAGACTTCAGAAAGGCCAAACATCAAGGAGGAGGTGGATAAGATGGAGGAGGTAATTAGGTTTGACTGGAATGAGCTACAGGTTGGATCATCCTTGTACAACATTGCAAGGGATGTTTTAGAGTTTTGCAAAAAGACACTGACCACAAAGACATTTAAAAAAGGCGACTACATGAAGCTCTGCAAACTAGTTGTATTCTATTTAGGAGGAGATGTACCGGGGTTTCGTTTTCATCAACCTGGAGCCTGCCACGAAGCCAAGTATGGTTAAAGTATATTATCAATAATTTGTATTATTAGAAGAGAGTATATTTTCGCTATTTTTCTATATAACTAATAATAATAATTTATTCTTATTTTTAATAAAGTTCATGGCAGATGCTCTATACCTATTGACACTGAGGATGACTGAGAAGGTAGCCCAGGTGATGAATGAGAAAAAGAAGAAGGTGGTAAAGTCTGCAACATTCTTTGTTTCCATATGCTATAGGCCCTGTTCTTAAAATCATATATGGTTGACAAGTCACCTTCAAATGACCTAACTGCCTTCAAGTCATCGTTTGAAATAAGGCGGGCTCTTCTTGTCAGCATGCTGCGGCACGCTAGGTACTTAACAGAACAGTTAATTATACTGGTCCTAGCTAACAATGATGTTGACGAGAAGGTAAAGAAAAAGATGTTGGAAAAGTTGGACAAGTGTAATATACCCAAGCAGTTTCATATGGGGAAACCAAAGCTACCAGTTATCAAAAAGTCAGCTGAGCTATTTGAGCTGGTATGTTCCCAGAGTTGGATCAGGCGGAGAAGTGGCTTAAGGAAGATACCAGTGAAACTTTTGATCTATTTAAAAGGTTTTTGAAATCGATTGAATGTGTTAATGACTGCGCTGAAAAAAATATCCAACTAATCCAGGATTTTGTTAGAGGCTACAGTTTGGATGACATGAAACAGAACCTAATGTTCGTTGCCAGAGACAACAGAAAAAAAACTAAAGAAAAAATTAACAAAGAAACAACTCATAAACGTTTAATTTTTAAAGTTAAAATATATATTTTTAAGAGTTACTAAAATACATAGTTTTTTCGTAAAAGTTGCTTTTTTTTGAAAAATGAAATTTTACAGCTATCACTTTTACAAAAGCAAAAATATTTTTTTTGCTTTTTTTCAACCTATTTGGACCTTAGAAAATGGAAAAACATTGAGAGGTATTTTTTTTTGGTACACCCTAATAAACAATGACGTGTTGACATTACCGACAAAAAGAATTATTAAAGTAAAACAAGTCAACCAAATAATCAAAAAAACGATTGTTGAAAAAAATGGTTGTTGAAAAAAATGGTTGTTGAATCTTTTTGAATTGTAATAATTCAATAAAATATCGATTAAAAAACAAACAAATTAAATAGTAAAAGTTACACAAATAATGTGAAAAGAGCAATGAAGGAAAGACAATAAAGTTAGGTTGTAGCCTTGATGATTTAGTTAATAGTAAAAAGTTCAATTGTAGTAAAAAAATTTTTAAGCATCTTTACTTTCAACTTGCTTTTCTCTTAGTGGCTGCAAGCAACCACTAAGAGAAATTATGAAGTTTTTAAAGCAAGATAACGATTGACAGACGACTTAAAAGATAGCAAGTTATATAAATTTCAACGAACTGATGTTTGAGGGAAAAAACTAGACGAATAAAAATTTCTGAAGAACCTAAAAACAGTCACAGTAGAAGGATGAGATTTGAAAGGTTGAAAGTTGGCTGCAAGAGCAGGCCCAACTATATTTACAGTTTTTGAACCTTGCCTAAAAGAGAAAGAGCATCATTCGATGATCTGGAAGGTAATTTAGAAATGTTAAGAGCAATACCCTTGACTCTCCACATCTATCTCATGCATAATAAAACCCAGTTAATACCGTTAACAAATCAGCTGTAGAACAAGAAGATCAAAATCCATATTGATGACCAGATGATCAGAAACAAAAATTATTAGATTTAAGATGAGAGATTAAGTGTTTGCTAATTAAAGACTAAAAAATCTTGGTTATAGTAGGAAGAAGTCTAATGGGATGTTGTTAGAAGAATCAGATTCCTCTCCAGAATTTTTAAAAATAGGGATAAAATTTTTTTTTTTTAGCAGACTGGTAAACAAGACTCTGATAAGTACTTGTTAAATAGTTTTGAAAGTATTGTTGAATGCTCCGGATAACTCTACTGCCAGGCTATAACAGGTATGTAGTCCGGACCACAAATTGTTAAAGAGTCTAAGCAGGAACTCACTTTAGATACAGACGCTGGAGTGATACGAATGTCAAACAATGAATCAACCTGTTTGTTGACTATATTAGGTAGGATGTGTTTAGTGGAATCAAGAAATAAGATTAATGAAAAGTTTTTACTATACTATTCAGCTTTGTCTTTAGGTGAGGTAACAAAAACTGAACTATGCAAGAGAGGAGAAATAACAGATTTTGCCTATATTATAGACACTGTTAAAGATTTTTCAAAAGTATCTAAAGCCTAACTTTTGAGATAAAATACGAAATTTTGTGACCTGAGAATAGTGGGCTTTAGCTTTAGACAAATCCATTTTTTTAATGGTTTCTAGCAATAGTAAACTGACTTCTGTTTTCTGAAAAATTGTTTTGGCGATAGATGTGGAAGTAATGCTTACGATTGGATATTGCAACAGCACAATGAGAGAAAAACTATGGAGAAAAGTGAGGCTTTACTTGGAATTTTTGAGAGGGAATAAAAGGTTCCATGCCAGCCTGAATCGAAGAATTTTTACAAGAAGCGCATTTTTTAGCAGGAAGACGAAAGATTTCTATCAAGGGCCATCACGAAGAAAATCACGGAAAAATTCCTAATCAGTTTTAAGATAGTTGTAAGAGGTACGATGATAGGGAGATTCTGACGATGAAAAAGAATGAGATAACAGTTTTAGAGAAATTAAACCGTGAACAGAATCATCTAAAGGTGAATATGGAGAAACTAAACACTGATTAGGATCAGAAAAAAAGAAGCAAGTTGAGTAAATAATTATTCCTTTCGGTAAATAGTTTACTTTACCAAAACAAATGTGTGAATATCATCAGATGTCCACACATTTGTTTTGATATAGTTTTGATAAATGTGTGGACATCTGATGATATCCACACATTTATTTTGATATAGTAAACTAGAATCGTTAGGAAAACAAACCATTTTAAAATCTTTCTGATTTTAGATAAATTGTCCAAGTTCCATTTTGACGACAGAAATTAAAAAAAGATTCCGATTTGCCGACTGATGGTACATATAGGATTTCAATTTGCCGATAAATGTTATAAAAGTTTTTTGAATGAGGGTGTCACACCCTCCTACTTCGTGCCGTTTTTAGCTATTGGCATAGCATGTCTGTTACATGTCTTACTTTCTCATTGTGATAGTCTTGCACTTTTTTTTTGGTACATTTTGTTTTTAACAATACAAGTTAGTTTTCCGTTATTATTAAAGATATATTTTAATGACTGCAACAGTCATCAAAAAATCTTTAATAATAACGGAAAAGTACACTCTTATAGTTCTATAAACTTTTGAAACATATAGCCTATAGAACTCTATAAAATTTCTATAGAATTTCTTTTTCTACTTTTTTTTTTCTATAAAAAAAAACTTTTATAGGAATTTCTATACAAATTAATAGACATTCTATAGAAATTCTATAGAAGTTCTATAGAATTTCCTATAGGCCATTTGTTTCAAAAGTTTATAGAATATCTACAAGACTTTTTTTTCTGGGTATTCAATGACATAATTATATTAAACATAATATCAATTAAAGTATTTTTTTTCAAAACATAGCTCTAGTAGTAACTGTTTCACCATATGAAGTGGTTTTCACAACTGGTAAGACGTCTTCACAATTATGATGTTTAATGGCGCCCATGTATCATAGTGCCTTAATCTTCCCTAATGTATATAAATTGTAAAATAGTACATCAACTAAAGGTCTAAAAGTATTTATAAATGTGTAAGTATTTTTATGTTAGATTTTTAAGAAAGTAAATCTTGTTCTTGGACTTGTAAATACTTTAGAAGCCTTGATCTTGGTCTTTGGTTGGCTTTTGATGTCTTAGTCTTGATATTGATCTTGAGATCTTAAGTCTTTGTCTTCTTTTTGAGCCAAAATGTCTTGGTTTTCGTCTTGGTCCTGACCTTTATTGTCTTGACTACATCTCTGATCATCAAAAACTTCCCTCTGATTTATCCTGAAAAATAAAAATGACTACGATCTATAAAACAACATTTTCCAAGTGTGATGCAAGTCTGCAGAATATAAATGAGAAGAAAATACAAGAGTATTTGTACACCAATCAGAAAATAGATCAAAGTAAAATTGTAGCAAATGTGATGACACCCACAGGAGAATAAATAAAGCTGCTGAAACCTAAGTTTAAAAGTTGCCAAGACTAAAACTAAAGCACTTTTTTTTTTTTTTTTTTTTTTTTATTCACCTCGTCAAGGCCGAGAAGGCCACTACAGACGAGGAGGCTACTTATTTGTGGTTATAACCCTCTCTTAACTCTATAACTCCGAAACACGAACCTTGACGAGCAAGGCCGCTGCGCGGGGAAACGAGTTGAGCGTGGTACTACCAGGGACGTGGTGGGGATCGAACTCGGAACCACTCGTTTATGAAGCGAGCGCTCTACCACTACACCACTACCGCATCTTGGAATTACAAAGATTCTTATTGTGTGAAACTCAATAAATATTATTATTGCTGGTAAATAAGTGTTGACACTGGGTAAAAATGGATGATTTGCTCAAAAGCGCATAATGTTCTTGGAGAAGGATTCACAAATTATTGCCAGCGTCACGTTCCGGACAAAATGGTGGTGGATGAAAAATCTTATACATATATATATATATATATATATATATATATATATATATATATATATATATATATATATATATATATATATATATATATATATATATATATATTATATATATATTCCGTTTAACAATAACTACAAAAACTAAAGTAAAGTAAATAAAAATTTACGATAAAAAATAAACAAATTTAAAAAATTCAAAAAGAAAGTTTTTTTTAATTTTTTAATATTTTATCTTCCTATTTCTTTTTATTTTAAACTTTTTTTGTTAGATTGAGAATAATCAAAAAAACCAAACAAACAACAACAACAAAAAAAACAAACAAACAAAAAAGAACAACAACAAAAAAAATATAGACAACAAAAACAAAAAGATAAAAAAGCGAATGCACACACTCACAAAAAAATACATGGCAAACAATTAAGGGTACTTTTTTCATAAGATTTCAAGAATATATAGTAAAAGCTTTTTTACTCGGTACAAATGATAAAATTAAATCGTGTAAAAGTTTACAATGTTTTAAT